TCATTATTTCGGTTTACCTGTTCTGCTCAGCGTTTGGCCTCGAAACGAAGCCCAGTTTCTAATTTCTTCTTCCTTGCCTTCATCTTTTAATCCATCCAAATTTTCACACCCCATGCGTTCCAAAAAATTTTTCCACTCATCTAATGAAATAAACTATCATAGTTAGACCATGAACCATCTAAATATCTACTGGCTCTTAAAATGGAAGTCCAAATTTATAAAAATAGCAAAAAGTATATTCTTACCTGGAAAGATTTTCTGCATATAAAAGATGATGGAAACCCCGGATTTGCTTGAACGAAGTTCTTTGACTGAGAAATTAATGTCCTCCAGGTAGTGGGGAGTAATAACACTGTAATAAAGAGAATAATTTATTAATGATTTATCGCTTGCTCTCACATATCAGTTACTAAAACTAAATTTTTTACAAATGTTTATTTAAGCATTATGCTCAGTTGAAGTAAGATTCCATAACTTTGTCATAGTTTCCCTCTTAATGACTGTTATAAAGAACACCATCTCGATGCTCAAGAAACTCGACCCCTAAACTGACTGGGGATAAGTTGCTGAACCGCTAGAAATGAATCAAAGTTCATAAGTTTTATTGCATAGAACTTAGTAATTGTTTTATTGCAAGTTTGGCAGTGCCACTATGAGTCAAACTTTCATGTGCAACCATTGTTCATGCAATAGCACCACCAAGAAGAAAAATAATGAAAATATAAACACACAAATCTTCAAGGAAATAAACATCAGCTTCTCTAAAAATATTATTCAGATTGAATGTGGTATCATGACTATCGTCCTACATTAAATTCCTATCCTCCTATATCTCACCTCTACATTTCCTTTACTGTAGTTGACACAATAATGCCTCCAAGAAGAACAAAGAAAAGTACAACATGGGAATCACCATAAAGAATAATTATCAGCTTCCCCAATAAGATTAAAAAAAATCAGATTCAATATCTTTTCATTTTTCATTAATCGGTATGACAGAAGAACTCATCTTCACACTTCATTTACTTTTGTAGATCGGTGCTTATATAGACAATTATTTTATACATACAAGATAGCATTACTATGCTGGAGGTTGTTCCCGTACCCTGCATTATCTAAATATTTTTAATGAGACCTAACCAGATCTTTGTAATTGGAATTTCAATATAGAGCTAACTATTTTGTATTTGACTACATAACTAATAACATAAATTTAGAAAATATTTATAATCGACACAGAAATAACAGATGCGTGATTAAACAATTTGACCTGAATGACAGCATATTGCGTACTTTAGGAGCTCTTGGCATATCCATGAAGAGTGAAGTGGCAAAGAAAGAAATGCGTCTTCGAGCTTCTAAATTTTCAGGTATATCCATAGCATTATCTTTGACGGTAAGTAACAACAGGAAACGCCTGATCTGTAACCGAAAAGAGAAAAGATTTTTTTACTATGGTGATGGTTAGGTTCTAACATGCAAATGTTTGCCATTCATACTTTGATGAGCATAAATA